AACGGGACAAAACCTTCTGGGTACCAACAGTGATAACCTGAAATGTCTCTCTGCTTTTACATAATACGTGTCCTGCAATTTTTTAGTTTAAACACCTGTCTTAAGTGTTCTAAATTAAGAACGAAAAGGCAGTTGCTTAAGGGGAGTCTGGAAAGGGAGGGATTTCTGATTTAAGGGTCATAAATCAATGAGCAAAGGAGGGCATGTGTTCACCTATGATAATACTCTTGATTCCCATGCTTTCGCTCCTTGACTGACGCAATTATTAATGCTAACAAAATTCTAACTCTCAGGTTTACAGTGTGAGTTTAAAATTGGGAGCAGGGGAAAAAATCTGGACTATAAGCTTTATAAAGGTCAGGATGTCCTATTCATTCCTATATCCAGTCCCCTGGGTACTCGGTTCATAATGAATGCATAAAAACATATAATTTAAGAAAGGGCTTTAACTTTTCTATCTAGCTGCACATCACATTGGTTCTGGAGTCAGACTTCTCAAATTCACCTCATTGCCCCCTCAGGTGCATGCCCGGGGGCTTCCTCCCCGGACTTCCAGTTTGCTGCCCGAGAAGAAGGGCGGTGACACTGCCTACCTCACAAGGTCACCGCGGGTCCCGAATGCACTCATGTTCTGGAACACACAGAATGTGCCTGCCACATACTGAGCACTAGATAAACCTCAGTTACTATTTTCACATCTTCATTCAGCTAATTGCCCTGGCTTTTGTACCCAAACTGGTTTCTCAGAGAATCTGGTAAATACTAACATTGGCTGACATAATGAGTTGAATTATAGTTGTCAAAGGATAGGTCCACTTGGACCCTGAGAATATGACCTCATTTTGAATGATGGTCTTTTGCGGATGTAAATAAGCCAAGGATCTGGAGATGAGATGGTCCTCGATTAGGATGGGCCCTGAATCCAATGACAAGTGTCCTTACTGGACAAGACAGACAAGAAGAAGACAGAGACATGGAAGCAAGCCACCTGAAAATGCAGGCAGGGACTGGAGGTATGCTGCAACCAGCCAGAGACCACCAGAAGCCACCAGAAGCCACCAGAAGCCACCAGAAGCCGGCAGCGGCAAGGACGGATTCTCCTCTAGAGCCTTCAGAAGGAGCGTGGCTCTGCTGGCATCGTGATTCTGGACTGTTGGCCTGTAGAACTGGGAGAGAATATATTTCTGTTGTTTTAAGCCACCAAGTTTGTGGTACGTTGTTATGACAACCCTAGGGAATGAATATAGTTGGGTACAGTTTGGAAGAACCGAAATTTGGTGAAGAAAGCCCAAATGTGAACTGATAGTTATTACAAGTTCTCCTTTCCTTGAATCATGTACTACAGGGAGACTTCTCTGTGGAAGGGGAGAAGCACTGGCTTCTGGGACTGGACCACTCAGGCTGTTCTGTCCCATCTGCCTGCGGCCAAGAACCTTTCTGCTGGGAATCCTGAAAACATTCCACATTTTCCCATGGGAATGAAGTGGAAGTACTCAATGTGCAGTAAGGCACCGCACAGACTCAGCCACTATCTGCCCCCAAGTGAATGCACAGGAAACGCAGCTCTGAGTCCTTGTCCCACAGTGGCCCCCACGGCCTTCCAGATCCCCACCTGTGGAGGTCAAATAGGTCATTAGACAAAGACTCTAAGTTAAGAAAAGATAACTGGTTGCCAAGAGACCAACATAACTGCATTTCTTCTAACTCTGTGGGTTTTGCAATTACATCTACGAAGCAGATCTTTTTTTAAGGGAAAAATATATGCAGGTCATCTGCAAGTTCCTCCTGAGACTTGGAATTTCAAAGGATTCCTCAGGAGAGAGTCATGGGAGTGAGGTTGTCAAACCCACGGGTACCAAGAGAAACTGTTTTCAGTCTTTTCCCCTCTTCTAACTCCTAGAAAAAGTTCCAGCAAACAGAGCAGCAACTGTCAGAGAGGTGACTGTCTGGGAGCAAAGGCATTAGACGCGATGACACATGCTGACAGGTTCAAGAAAGAGTGGATGCTCTGCCAATCAGAAAATAATTTCTGTGGGGCTGCAAAGTCAGAGAGACTGTGAGTCACACAGCATCTCAAAGACAGGTCACAAATGCTCCGTGTGTCATCTTCCAAAGTGAAGGTCAAGAGGAAGGAGAGGTGGGTAGAGGCAGAGAGGGGACGAGCAAGGAGACCCGTGTGCAGACAAACCAACCACATCCAGGCAGGCCTCGCTGTCAGATTTTCTGACAGTGCCCAGGGAACCCGTGCAATCACCTGCTTTGTTGACATCTGAGGCTCTCACCTCACATGTAAGCAGCACTCCATTAATTCGTAAGTCCTTTGTAACTCGTGAAAGTCACTTCTTACCTGACTTAGTCAAGGTTTTCTTTTCTTCCCTTACTGGGTAATTTATTCAATTTATCCCCAGCAAAAAAAAGGGTTAGAGAGAAGAGGCAGCACCCGTATTCTGGCTCCCAGAGTACCCTGACGCAGACTCAGTGTTTAACCAAGGAGAAGTACAGAATGAAAACACTCAACCAAATAGGAAGAAAAAATCTTGAAGACAAATGGATCTGTGCAGGTGTCTTTTGCTTTTCCCCATTAGGAAGGAAAATACTGAGAAAGAATGGAAGAGACTAAAAGCCTCATGAAACACACAGGTAAATAATAGGAGTGTCTATTTAAAATACGTAAATGTTTCATTTCTCCACTCTCTAAGAGCTTTTCTCAGGAAAAGATATGTTTTTAGCACTCAAAATTAAGATAGTATGGACACATAGGTCAATCCACAGTCCTTCGTAAGAGAACTGCCTGATTTCTAATCCACTGGGCAATTTTTAAATAAATAAACTAATGAGTATAAACGTTGGGTAGTATGTGCAAATATGCTTCATTTAAAAAAGAAAACCTTCCATCCTTTCTGCCCAGGAATGTCAAGTTGGCTGTGAAGGTCGTGACAACAGCCAGTGTTGAGTACACGCAATCGCACTGAGGAGCCACTCACGATTGCTGACGGGCCCTCATTCAACCTTATTTGTCACTTGCACTGGAACCAAGAGATGGTAAAAGGCCAGGAGGTTACAGAAGGAGAGAAAGAAAACTTCAATCTACGTCGGGATAAGGGTTCTTGTCTCCCTTCAGATCCTTTCGTAGCAATTACCCTGTTCCTACAGTTTGGCGGAGGGGGGGGGGGGGGCGCTCGGTTCCTCGTGTTTCAGATCTGAAGGTTTCTCCCAAGATGGGAGAAGTGACAGAAGTGAGAGTGTGGATTCTCAGAGACCAGAGGCTGGGCTGGGCACAGAAGCAGGCTCAGAGGAGTCCATGGAGATGAAGGGTTGATGTGAACACACACACACTTATCCCTTCTATTTCACATTTATCACCCTGTGAAATAATTTGGACAGTTGGTCTGTACGCAAACACATACTAAAAAGAAAAGAAAAATATATACACGCACAGACAACCTCTTATCAAAAGTACATACCGTATTTTTCAGACATAAGACACACCTAGGTTTTAGAGGAGGAATACAGGAAAAGAAATTTTGAAGAAAAAAATGTGGTAAAAATTTAATAACATAAATAACATAATATTTCACCAATGTAAATGTAAACAGAACTCAACAGCAGCATTAACAACCATTATTCCTCCCAAATTTGGGGGGGGAGGCATGCATGTTATAGTCCGAAAAATACAGTATATCTTGCTAATCCAAAGCCACACTTTAATTCTGATATTCTGAAACTATGTGGCCACATTAAGTAAATGGTGAAGAGTAAACCATTTGTAAGAAAAAATCAAAGCACACACACAAATCATCCCATACCCCCTTTCTTACATTCTGACTTGTCACTGTACACAATACTATTTTGTGGTCCCTCGTTTTACATCATTCTCAACCTTCAGCAGACTTTTTTCCCCCACGAGACCATTAATCTTAAAATCCAGGAGTTTTGTCTGCTCTTCTAGCACCGTGACCTGTTTTTGTACTTTGGAAAAGGGGAAAAGACCAGCCCTGTCTTGAGTGGGAATCATTTTTGGAATAATGGTGGGTGGTTGTTCACATCTGGATTAGGTATAAAACATAACATTATGATGATGAACGCCACAGAGCCTCATCTGCATATAAATAGACCTAATCAGAAATGCAAATTGCAATCAGGAGAAATTTTTAAGGGCTGTCATAGCTGTGTGATTGTGCAGATAAGGAAAGGTTAACGCTTGTTTTGTCGAAGTGGTTAAACAGCTCCCAGCCAGCCCAGCGCCTCCCTTTGAAGGAGAAATGTGAAAGGTACAGATCTCTCAACCTGCAACCTGGCTGGGAAGGAGCTCCCTGATAGCTTCTCCAGCTGGCTGAACACCAGCAGGATTCTGATGAAAGACAACCAAACCTCTTGTACAAACCCCTGATGAATGCACACAATAGAAAATATACCAGCATTTAAACACACTCCAAACAGACCACTCTTCCGGCACAATTTTCCATTAAGACAGAAATTAAGGGATGGAGAGACAGTTTTATAACTGATGTAACATTTAAAAAAATATTTTTAAGTGCTGGTCTGAGTGGATACAAAAATATGATACACATTTTTATCCCTAAATTTTCCTGAATAGTCAAGAAAGATTCAAGCAAATAAAAAATAATTGTATAATTAAAAACAAACACAGTATTTAGACAGATTACTTAATCCAAAATTGCCCTTGTAGTCTTCTCATCCAAAGCACCAAAAGTGAACATCTCAAAAATGAACATGACAATACATACATTTCAGTATGTACTGGAGTACATACTGAAAATATGCAATTGTTACAACAAAGTCCTATTGTTCCTTGGGCTATGTTATCTTTCAGTAATGTCCTCTTCCCCCTCGCCTCTTTTTCTACCCCCAAGAGAAATACTGTACATTTCATAAGCAGGCTTTCACAGATTTGGTGAGAAATTGTTTACAACTGTCATTCCCGCTACAGCTGCTTTCACGAAGAACCTACGAGCCGAGAGCGCCATCTTGTGTCCTACCTTGGAATCTTAAAGAGCGTTTTCACAGGATGCATGTCAAAGAGGGGAGGGTCTCCGTCCCCCAGCTCAATAGCTGTAATCCCCAAGGACCAGACGTCACAGCGTGCGTCATAGGAAGAGTCATACTGTTGCTCACAAGCAATAACCTATGAGACAAAAGCAGAACATTCATTATACATCAACCTCTCAGATGTCCTAAAAGGCCCTTGGCCGATCCTAGCCCCTTCTCAGTTCCCTTGGCTAGGTCGATATAGAATTCTAGTAATGATAAACTATGTGTATTCAAGGCCTTATTTGTGTGTGATTGATTTATCATCTAATAGATTCATTAACTTTTTTTAACGTGTCAGTTCAGTTCAAAAAACATGCACTGAAACCATCTAGGTACCAGAACAGTCCAAGGGGAGGTCCAGGGCGAACACCTCCCCGCACCTGCCCCGAATCCTGTGAGGAAAGACTTTGCCTGCATCCTGCGTTTGTCTCCTCCACAAATCCCCAGGAGTGGCCAACTGAGCAGAAAGATGTCGGAAAACTGATAGTCAGCGTGAAATAGAAACCACTCCCTCCAATTCCCCTTTTCTAGGAACTTCTGCCCCCTCTTCAAACCCCAGTGACTGGTCTGTATGCCACCAGCAGCTGCTGCTTCTGACTGGGTGCAAGAGCAGCAGAACCCGAAGATGCCCCTGGGCTCATCATTGGTTTGGGGGAGCATAGAACCTGGTAGGGAAATCTCTTTCTATCAACGTTTTCTTTTTTAAAGATTTTATTTATTTATTTACCTTTTGAGTGGGAAAGGGAGGGAGAAAGAAAGGGAGAAAAACAGGGTTGCCTCTCACGGCCCTCATCCCGGGAGACCCAGCCCACACTCCAGGCATGTGCCCTAGACTGGGAATCGAACCAGCAACCCCCTGGTTTGCAGGCTGGCACTCAACCCACTGAGCACACCAGCCAGGGCTCAAGCAACACTTTGAGTCAGACAGAAAAAGCCCCTCCATTCGGACTCTGGTGGCCATCACAATGGGGTTTTGAGAAGGCAGAGTGAGCCAGTGGACGTGGAGGAACAGATGCCCCTGTTTGACCTGAAATCTGCCTCCATGGCCAAGGATGGCCCAAGGCTGCGGACAGGTAGGAAGCTTTGAGTTTCTGATGATGTAATGGTGAGAACAGCTTGTGAGGTAAATAAGCCTGGGGGAGGGGGCCAGAGTGATGGGCCTACCTCCCCTCTTAGGCCCTAAGGCCTTTGGCTTTGACTGAGTGAAATGGGCCAACTGGGGAGCAGAGGAGGGACAGATCTGGGTCTGGGTTAGCAGCGGCACCCTGGCTGCTGCACGGAGGGCGCATTAAGACGGAAGATGAGTAGAAGAAGCAAAGCAAGTTTACAATGCTACTGCGGGAATCCAAACTAGAGTCGGGGAGAAATAATCAGTTTCTAGTTACATAATTTTAAAGGCACAGCCAGTCAGATTTGCTGAGTGGGGCTTGTAAGAAGAGTTGAGGAAGTGTCCAGAGTTCTAGACCTGGGCGATTTCAGAATGGAATTGCTTTTTAATGAGTTGGGGGAGAGAGACAGTAGGAAAAGCAGGTTTGGGTTGAAAGGAGGATCTCCATTTGGGACACATTAAGTTTGACACGCCTATGACACTTCCAAATGGAGACTTCATTTTAACCGGCTAAGACCCATTCTCAACTTCGGACTTAGAGAATTCTGACCTAGAGAACAAATGTGTGCTGTTTTAAGCCACTGAATGTGTGACACTGTTACGGCAGTGACAGCAAGTGAGTCAACCTGCTCTCTGCCAGACCAGTTCATTGCACTTGCAGAGCCAGGTAAACGTACCGACCACCATGCCTGAGACCTGGTGCGCCTCCTCCCATAACTGCCTCCACCCTCTGTCCTGGATTCCGAACTGAAGAACGTTTCTCTGTGCACCTGCCTCTTCGGTCTGATCCCAGCTCTACTGTCTGAACAGACTATCCTGCCATAGAATCTCCTGTCATACTTTTAACACGTTATTTTCAAACATGCCTTCAAACTAAAGTTCAAACAATCCCAATTTCGGAATCAAAGGCCATTTCATTGCCCCTGAAGCCCTGGCTTTCATCCCCCCCAATCAGGCGAGGAACTAGGCTATTTTTATAGATCTCCCAAAAAGTCTACACAATGCCTTCCCTTTCAGAAGTGACATTTCCAAACATGTGGAACTAACGGAATTTTAGACCTATCGATCAGCAAATAGTTGACCATTTTTATACATTCCTTTGAGGGAAAGAGAAATAAGACCCCATCCTTCCCCAACATGAGATATGGCCAACTGAAATTTAAAGTGAAGCTATAATAATTCAAGGGCAAACCATGACTCTATAAATGTCCTAAGACGACGCGTACTAGCACGTCCAATAAAGGATGCAGGCGCCAAGTGCTTGGGATGTCAGAGGGCAACCACTGCGGGAGAAGCGAGGCAATAAGGAGCGTCTAGTGCCATGGTCCACAACTTCCAGGAAGAAATGCAAATCAACCTCTAGCCATTTTAGACAGGACACAGAAGACAATTCCAAGAACCCGTCCAAGTGCAAGAGTGATATCCTAAGGTTTCTCAAGTGCTGTCGTAAAATATTCAGAACATTCATCTGGTTTCAATGGCTCTTCACAGACAGATACTATCTTCAGCTCCGTCTGATTAATAAAAAAGCACCCTTCAGCCAATTCTCTTCCCAAAATTCAGCTTTGTACTGTGACAAACAATTCTTTAAGGTCAGTCTTCCAAAGAAGGTTATAGAAAATTTCCCTAGTAAAATAATCCATGAATAATTATTGAGTACCTAGGAGCCAGGCAAAGTATTAAGCCCTGGGAACAGGATGCCAAATACATACTTAATTTAACGCTCATACTCATACTACGAGATAGATGCTATTATCACCTTTTGTACGTGTGGAGACTGAGGGATAGATAGCACAGGTACCATATTTTTGGGTTATAAGACAAACTTTTCCCTCCCCCCAAATTTGGGAGGAAATGGGAGTGTGTCTTAGAGTCTGAATGTAGCTTACCTGGCTCCCTGTGGTGTGGGGGACAGCGGTGGAGTGGGGTCACAGGTTATTAAACATTTTACCACATTTTTGCTTTAAATTATTTTTTCCTATTTTCCTCCTCTAAAACCTATGTGCGTCTTATGGTCTGGTGGGTCTCATAGTCCTAAAAATACGGTAAATAGCTCATCCAGAGCCCACCACCAGTCATTGTCAAGGACAGAATTTGAACACAGGCAGAGAAGATACAAGTAAACCTCATAATGTGGTAAGTGTCGCACTCATATTTTGAGCAAACCAACTAGGTTTTTTTAGAGTTCTGTCACCTAAACTCCAAATGTTCAGAGGGAGTCTTTCTTTCAGGTTTGGTGTGGGATGGGATTCAAAGAAGCACTATAAGAGAAGGCATTGAAGGTCAACACATCCTGGAATTAGATTCCCTATCAATCCAATACCGAAGTCTACAACGACTTCTCAAGGAGAAAAAGGGACCTCATTCTCCTTAGCTCACCATTCCCCTTGTCTCTAGGAGAAATAAAGCTGAGTTAGGAATGCACGGATGGCTGCTTGGTCTTTGGGTCCCTTGCCCCCATGAGAAGGAGACCTCTCAAAGAGCTCTCTGAACCAGTTGTTACAACGCTCTGCTGGGGAGAGAGAGTAAGTCAGTGCACTGCCCTTGGACCAGGTTTTCTATGTTCTGTAAGTCATATTAAAGGGACGAAGAGGTAGGTTTAGATAACACTAATGCAGGTCCAGGACCCAAAATACCTCTTCTCTCACACCCTTCCACCTCACCTCTACCCCCCCCCCCAAGGAGAAGCTATGCCCAAAGCAAGTATATATGTTCCTTTACCTTGAGCCTTTGCTCCTATCAGAGGAGTATAAAATGATGTTAGTGGCAGTGGACTGAATGGAAATGATAAAATAGGTGTGTGAGAGAGTTCAAGGGAAAACTTGCAGGTCTTGGAGGAGGATCTAACATAGGAAGTCAGGGAAAGGGATACACCAAGGAAGACTGGTATGTTGATCCTGGGGGACCAGGGGGATGATGGTGCCATTTACAAAAAACCGAAGTCAGGAGAAGTCAGTGATGGGCAGTAGAACAAGTTCAAAGTGGGGCTGAGCGCTATCCCCAACCAAGTATGAAAAAAAAAATCACTTGTGCCCTCATGACCTCACTTCCCCCCCCAATATAGATGCACTAAGAAAAGCAAAATTCCATTAAGATCAGAAGCAGAATATATGAAGGGTAATGATCAAATACTGATATGTTTTCAGTGGCTACATGGAGTTTTATATTATAGTAAATGTATCTTACATTTCAGAACTCTATAGATTTTAATCTTCCTATTGTTGGTTGCCAACACAATTAGTCAAAATTTGTAGTTTTAATACACAGATATAAGTGCCAGAAGCAGATACTAGGTTGTACATCAGGACTGGAACAAATTGGAGTATTTATCTTAATCCAGTGTTGTGAAGAAAACCTAACACTCTGTGGCCCTCATCAGGGAAGACATGCTGAAAAATCTTTGGTTTGGAATCACAAAGTCTGAACTCGATTATTTCCCAGCTGGATTCCTTTAGACAAGTCCCTTGAAAACTCTGAGCTGAGGCTTCTTTGGTTATAGGGACCCCACCTTGTAGACCTATAACGTGGCAAGGTGGGAATGAATGATCTCTACCTTCCCTTCCAGCCTGGATATTCTATGTCTTCATGATTCCCAAATCAGTAATTCTGGGGTTGTATCTCAAACAGAAAGGCTAACCTCTCTGTGCAAATTAGCTAGAGCAAACAGATGATTCAGGGATGCGAAGTGGATAACTAGAACCTTAAGGGGATCTTATTACCAGTATTTTGTAGAAGGTCTTAAGGTCCATGAAAAGATGCTGGGTGCTGGGATAATGCCTCTGTTAAGGAAGATGAACTTCAGCAACCGAGCAATTGTTTGGATGCTGGCTAATGGAGCATGTCCAGGTCCCTGCCCTGAAATGTGAATTTATAGTTTTTCTAGGTCCACTTAGACCACACTGCTGCTTATTTTTGGAAGACTAAAAACACTAATGCTGTTTAGTGTATAGCTGTTACACTACCGACAACAGCTACACACAAGCAGC